AGATGTGTCACACTGGTGATATACGCCCTCAAAATGGGCTATGATACGTTTGCAGCAATTAACCTACTGAACATCTCTTCACTGCAGGAGGAAAGCCTCATCAATGAGTTGCCATACTTCTTTGTGCACCGCTCTTCCAAGTAATTCCCCTGAACTCTGATTGCTCCTCTCCTTCTCACTGGATCCCTTGTTGGCACCTAATCCATTCATTTATTTGTCTATCTGTTGCCTTTTCTTCTTGAAAAATGGCCAGGTGGCTGATTCATTTCCTCTTCTTTATTTATTTATTCTATCTATCACCCCTATTAGCATTTCTAACAACCTCATTTTTAAATGGGATATACTAAAATATATGAAGCATTTAATAAAATACAAAAGAAACTGAAGAAAAGACGAACAAAATTGGGACGGCCCCACAAAAGAAAAAGAAACAAAATGATGACTCTCCTAAGTGAGTAGGAGATTCTTATCCCGTAATATAATCTCAGTTTCCGAAATTTTATCCATGCTAGTTGGATTCTCTCCTTCATTTCCGACGTTGTCTCATCTTCAACGTTGTCATTCTACCCACGTAAAATGTTGCTGTCAACCTGCTTAATATTATTTCCATCAAGATTAATGCTACCTACCAATATATCCATAATACTGTATCCTTACTGAACACGAACCTTATGTTAATATTTAGTCCAGTTTTTGCTTTCTTAATTTAATTCATGGATTATTATTTGCAGTCTTGTGGATTGTGGCTAAATAGAGAGCGATCAAACGTTATAAAAATATAGGAAAAAGTGCTCAAATAAGGAACAAATGGTCGTTTTCTATATTATCAGTGCTACGCAGCAAACTACCATTTATTTTATTTTATTTCAAATCGCACCCAACAGCGGATAACCCGCCACTTATAACAGAATGGATTAACAATAACAAATTAAAAACAACAGGCAAATAAAAAATCATTAATAACATGTCAAAAAAAGCGAAGCAATAATAGCAATAAAAAATGAAAATGAAAAGTCTAAGAAATATTATTGAGAACTTTACAAATTGTATGGTTTAAACATTTAAATTGTCAGAAAATAGATCAATAGAGGTGTCTTTTGAGGATCCGGATATTGTATTTATATAAGCAAGGGATTGTAGAAATACAACGGTTTTTTATGGAGTCAACTCTACCAAAAGGCAGGGAGAAAAGGCAAAGAAAAGGAACTGCGACAGCGACGAGACTTAGCATTAAGAAGAGACAAAAGTAGCCTAGAAACAGTCAAAACAGGAATTCATACATCTGAAAGAAATTGAAGATCAAAAACAGATTTATGTGCACTGAGAGACTGTAAGTGAAGATCAGAGGAGGGAACATTGGTAGGACGACAAAGAAACTGGATAAAAAGATTTTGCACTAAATCAAACCTAACAGATATATATACACACACACACGCACACACACACACACATATATATATATATATATAC